TCCGTTGTTTGCATAAAACCTCAACAACTTCATGCCGTTATTGTTGAGGTCGCTATGGCCGTTTTTTCCAGTCATGCTGTTCTACTTTTCAACGTCTACTTCGATGTGCGCATTAAAATCGCTCATCAGTATGAGGGACTATGTATTCGGCACTTCGGACAGAGCACACTGCAGTTCCTCAAGCGAGGTATCATATTCTCCCTCTAAACTGGGCGTACAGAGCTGTAACAAAGTCAGAGGATTGCCATTCTTCCGCTGACAGTCTTCCATTCAATGATTATTCAGTGATTCTCTCAGCTAGGTTTGGTTCTACCAGAAAACCAACACCGGCCTGAGCGGACACCAGATGTCGACACCTAAGTAGCTTCCTCCCGTAGAAGTTCAGAATTCGATAGCATTGGCATTTCGATGGCGAGTCTACCCTGTCGAGTTGATACCTTGCGGCATCATCGACTAGTTCCTGCTCTTTCCGTCTGAGTGAAAAAATGTTCGAAGTTCTCTCTGGCTCGTCCTTTCAGAAAGCATAGCGCCTCCTTTGCTACCTGGTATCTCCGGCGTGTCTCATTGTCGATTTTTGGCAACCGTCGCGGTTCTGCTATGCCCCCTTCTGCCGTAAGGCTAGAGGCAGGATCCGATCACCGATTGATGCAGTTTGCCTCTGTTCCCAACAGCCCTCCGGCGTAGACGGAGTCGATAAAAAGTTCGATAACGGCAGTTGCATGAGCGACAGGTGGCTAAATTTTGCGGAACACCTCGGCGCGGTCTTCATCCCTTCTCTTTTTACACCCGTGCTTCGGCCTGTTAACGGCGAAGTTTCTTTCGGCTATCACTTTGTATACAATTGCACGCTAAGCACGTACAAGGTTCATCAGCTGTTTCTCATAGCGTATTCTCTTGAAGTATGGACTTGCGATCGAACGATGCTTCCCGCTGCTATGGTCACCTTGTCACCTCTCTGGGTGGTCGGACTAAGTCATAAGTCAGTAAAGAAAGCAATTGT